GGTGTGACTACACTAGGACGCTGGGATGAGGCCACGCTGGGTCACCCACGCGGCCATCCTGGGGTCCCTGCAGGACACTGAGGAGGAGAAGAGGCCACGTGACCACAGAGGCAGAGGTTGAGGAGATGCCGTCACAAGCCCAGGGACTCTGGGAGCCCCCGGGAGCTGGAAGGAGCCTCCCTGGAGCCTCCAGAGGGAGTGCAGTCCTGCTGACACCTTGAGCTCGGGGTCGGGTCTCCAGAACCGTGAGAATAAAGTCCTGTTCTTCCGAGCGGCCAGGGTGGGGGGACAGCGGCCCCAGGAAGCTAATACATGGGATGAGGCTAGCCCCAAGGACGCCCAGTGACGCTCAGTGAGTCACGAAGTCCAGTCCTGGAGTTACCCAACCCCTGGCACCGCGAGGGGGATGGCTGTGTGACCCCAAAAAGCTCCTGCCCTCCAACACCCCGGCCACCGAGGCAGGAAGGGAAGTGCTGGGGCCCTTGGTTCCACAGGAGGCTGGACAACAGCCCTGGGGCCCTTCCCGCTCACACGGAGCCTGTGAACTTCCCACTGGCCCGAGAGGCCGGGAGGGGCCCCGGGTGCCCTCCTGCCCCCCACCCCGGGCCCCGCCACAACAGAGCACCACCAACAGCCCGCCCACCCCCCAGCTCTGCCCAGGAGGGGCCCCAGGCTCCAGAGGCCCATACATGGTGCCGTCGTCGGGGCTCCCAGGACACTGGGCCCCTCAGGGCGTGCTCCCCATGACTGTCAGTAACGGCTCCGACCCTGCCTCGTGGGCCCCGCCCATCCGTGAGCGCCCACTGCCCTCTCGAGTCCGTGGCCCACCTGCCTCTCTCCTCCACAGCTTCCTCCGCCCTAGTGGCCGTTCTGTGGGGCCTAGATGGTTCCCCAGCTCCATGACCCCAGCCCCAATGTTCCTGAGTACTGGGCCCGAGTCATCTCCCAGCCAAGACTCAGGCACTCAGGCCCCAGCCAGCGGGGGCCACCTGGTCCCCAGTGGTCCCCAGTTCTCAGGCCCCTGCTCCTCACTTCGCCCCTTGCCCTCCATCGGCTCCCCATCCTGGCCTCAGCTTCTGTCCTCCTGCCATTCCTCACCTCCTGACCCCAGCTGGGGTCTTTTCAGCCCAAACGGGGCCATTCACCCCTCTGCCTAACGGCCCCCATGGTGTCCTTTGCTCCCAGGACAAGGCTGCCTTCTGGGCCTCAGCATCCCCACGCCTGGCTGCCTCCTCCCCTATCCTGGAATGTGCAGGCTTCCTCCTGCCACAGGCCTCGGGCTTGCGCCCTCCTTCTGCCTAGGATGCTCACCCCCCAGCCTATTAGCTCACGATTAGCTCACCGTTCGCGCTCAGCCATATGTCACCTCTTCCAGGAAGCCTTCCCGGATCCCCAGTCCAGGTCAGCTTCCTCGCCAGATGCTCGCTGGGGGGCCCTCGTCCCTTCTCAGCACGTTCCTGTGTGTGATTATGCACAAATTTGGGGGCTGTGATTCACAGGGTGAGGCCGCAGTGACACTGTGTCCCCTCTGTCCCCCATCTAGTGGAGCTCTCGGCCCGCCGGGGGCGGGCCGCCACCCTCAGGAGGAGTCGTCATCACCTTTCAGGGTGGGGGGCTGGCCCCACACTCTCGGCTGTCCCCACCCCACCTGCAGGACGAGGCCCTCTGGCCAGCCGAGCCCCTCAAGGTCCAAGTCGGAGGAGGATGCCCGCCCATCCAGCCAGGAGCATGAGCCCGTCCCCACCCCAGGAATGCAGCCTGTGACCCTCCCACTGCCCTCCCTGGGGGGCCCTGACAGCCTGTGTGGGGGGGGCAGGGCACGGGAGGAGCCCCTGTGAAAACAGCCCCCACGGAGCCAGAGAGGGCACAGTGGCCACCTCCAAAGGCGGCCGCCGACAGGTCACTACCAGGCGCCCCGGGGACCCCTCACTCACCACCCAACCCGAGAGGCAGGTCCGTCACTCGGAGACAGACAGGGAAAATGAGGCCCGAAGTGCTGGGCTGCTGGGGCCAGAGCAGCAGGCGACCAGCCAGGCCAGTGCCGGGCGGCCCTGTGTCTGTCCCTGGAGGTCAGGGCCTTCCTCAGGAGGAGGCCCACGTCCCCCCAGGCTGGACTGGTGCTCTGGGGGCAGTCCCTGCTGAGGGCCACTGTGCCCTCTCACTGGAGCCCAGCCAGGCCCCCGGCTGGCCTCTCACCACTGCCCTGGCCACCACGTCCCAGGCCGGCTTGGCGCTTCTCCGGAACGTCCCTGGGGGCACCCCAGTCAGCTGAGCCTCCAGCCACCCTGCAAGATGGGACAGAGGAATCTCTCTGGACTGGATGCTGGGCACGACGTCCCTGGGAGGGCCCTGACCCCGCGGGGTCGGCTGGGATGCCCCCTGACTGGCGCCGGGGGGCACTGCAGACACCCATGTCCTTGGGGCCGCCAGCGGCGCCTGTTGGGCTGGACATGGCCTAAAGTACAAGCTTCCCCGGCTGGTCTCCCTGCCCGAGCTCCAGGCCCACACAGCCCTCCTCCCGGGGGGCCAGCTACCAGCGACCAGACAAGCCCCATCAGCATTGTACACACGCTCTGCAGGGCAGCCCCCTGCACCAGACCCCGCGGCCCTTGGCTCGCCCAGAGAAGCCCACCGTCCCCACAGAAGGCGGTTCCCAGTTTCCCCTTCAAGGAGCAGGCCAAGGGCCTGGCCCCCAAACAGCATCACGGACAAGCAAACTTATCCACCAGGAGAGCGCCGCTCACCAGTGCCAGCCGATTAAACACCAGCTGGTGTGGCCCTCAGAGCAGTCTTCCATCCTCAAAACACAAAACTCAAGCCAATCTGCCAAAACCGCTTTGTGCTTTGGTGCTAAAAAGATCCAGCATCCTACGCTCCCAGAGCTCCACGCACTGCTGGGGAAGCATGGTGCTGCCCAGAGACCGAGACACACACAGAGACAGAGAAGGAGAGGCAGAGAGACAGAGAGAGCCAGAGGGTGAGGGAGGGAGGGAGGGAGGCCGCGAGGGAGGCAGGGAGGGAGGGAGGAGAGGCCAGTCTGTGGGCACAGCCCCTGTAGCAGGGAAACCCGTCTGGCCAGATTCTTCCCTCTGCTTCCAGGTAAACACAGCCAGCCCTGAACACGCTGGCCAACGTTCTCCAGGGGAGGGGGGCTCCCTGCCCCCCAGGTGGGCTCACAGTCCCTAGTAAGCGCCCACTGTGACCAGGGATCTGAAGGTCACTCTTGAGGACTGACTGCTCACCACGTCCTTGCCGACACCGGCCCACAGCTCACGGGAAAGGGGCAAGTGGGAGAGGTGCCCAGATTCCACACTGACCCCCGACCAGGCCAAAGGCAGGAGGGGCCTGGTGGGCAGCGAGCCTGGGCTGGGGATGGCAGACGGCACACAGATGGGCAGGACCCCACAGAGGGTCCCCAGGCCCCCAGGACATGCCCGGAGCAGGAAGTTGCGTCTGATCATTCTCCAGACCCCTTCCCTCAGGTGAGCCGGCCAACGGCCCCACAGGGTGCCCCCACTTGAGACCCTCGCTGGCTCGATGCCAACAGGTTGGTGCCATGGCTGTGCCCCAACACGAAGACCCAGAGCTCACAGGGGCTATGCCTGGTTCTGGAGAGGATAGGCTTGTGTCTGGACCCCTGGGAGTCATTCAGGGCACTTGACTGGGACTGACACAGGAAGCAGTGGGGGGAAGGGTAGGGACAAGGCTTCCAGAGTCCCGGCTGTGACCCTGCCCCGGTGCCCCCCTCATCATCATCGCTTTCTCAATCCTGGGCCCCCCAATCCATGTGGCACAGCAGTGAGGGGGTCACGCCAGGTGCCCCACAAACCCCTTCCCAACCACATATCCACCAGCCCCGCTAAGGCCTGAGGGCTCGAGCTGGGGACTATGGTGCCAGACAGGAGGATGGGCAGGTGGACCAGACCAGGCAAGGTCAGCTGAAGGTCACAGAAACCAAGGCAGAGGCCCAGCTAGGATGGAGGACCACTGATCTGGGCACAGCCCCGCCTCCCCGCACCTCTGTTTCTGCAGGCATTAGGCCACGGGGTCAGGAAGACGGCCGTGGCCTGACCTCCAAGGAGGGACCCCACCACACACCCTCTGGTCCAGCCCAGGCCACCTGCACGGGACCCACCTCCTCCCAAGGGGGAGGCCACGGAGGGGAGCTGGCTCCGGGAGGTCCCCACTAGGGCCAGTGACCCGCTGGACACCCCCTAGTGCGCAGGCTCCAGAGCTGGTGGCAGCCATTCGATGAGACCATGCCCAGCACTTCCCTGTGCCGGGTCCCAGGGGACGCTCACGGCAGGCAGTCTCTGTCCCTCAGCCACTTCCTGACACCCCCACGTGGTATGTCCACATGGACAGACACCCAAGGAGGACCCTCCTAAGGCCCGTGGCTGAAGATCCTACAAAGTTCTCCTGGAGAGGAGTCGGAGGGCAAGACGCCGGCCCGGGAACACAGCCCAGAGCCACCTCCGGGAGCCCAGAGCGCCTGGCCGCCACAGGCCCAGGAAGGACCCACACGGGTGCCAGGCCGGTCGGAAGGGTGGGGGGCGAGGGCCACCGGAGTGGCATCTGAGGGCCTGCAGCTCAGTGCCCTTCCTTCTTCCTGAGTCAGGACCCACCTGGGAACAGGAGGGAGAGGGGCCACGGCTCCAGTCCAGGGAGAGGGGAAGCTGTGTCCTCTCAGAGTGCGTGGCCCCCGAGGAAGCCCCCACCCCACCCCTCGGTCAAGACTGCCATCTTTAAACCTGCTCCTTCCTTGGGGTGGGAAGGCAGATAAAAGGGTAAGCAGATCCTTCACGGCAACACAAACTGGGCCTGTTCTGGGCACGGGCCGCGGAGGCCGCTACTTTGAAAGCCTCTCTCCGGTGCCCGGCGAAGCTGAGTGACCCTGGCCATGAGCAGGACAATTCTCCAAACGGCCGGGCGCTGGAAGTGGCCGGAGGCCGCGGCTGGGAGCAGAGGGCCGCCAGAGCCCAGCCCCGGCGCGCACTCACCTGGTCGCCCGAGTTAGGTCTCAAACTGGGTTAAGAGCTCCCTTATTTCCGGGGCCACGTGCTCGGCGGCGTTGGCAGCCTCCGTGATAGCCTTGCGGTACATCCCCTTCTTCTTACGGTTAAATCTCAGTTTGAAAAACTCAGAGAAAGGGGAGAGTTTTGAAGTAGACAAGAACGACGTAGTTGGAGAACCAAACCACGAGACTTTCGCTTCTTGCCAAGAGGGCTCCCCGTCCTCCTTCTGGCTAAGACTGAGGTCAAGCACACGCGCTGGCCACCAAGGGAAACCGTGAATCTTACCCCACACAATGTCCCCTACGGCCACCGTCCTCCCGTCCTCGGTAACGCACTTGGAGACGCTCTGCGTGTGCAGCCGGACCGTGAGCGGTGGGACTGTCTGCCTCACGTCCTTGGACGAGGACCGCAGCCCAGACGCACCGTCACCTGACGACAGGTCACACGTGTCTGGTGATGTGACTTCCGAGCTGGACGATTTGGACTCGTCCAGGCTGTCGCTGCTCCACACTGACTCGCTGGCACACTCTGTGCCCCGCCTGGGGCAGGTGGCGAGGAAAGCCAGGCTCTCTTGCCCGTGTTGGCCTGGGGGACACTGCTTGAAGTCCTCATCCTCGCCAGAGCTTCCAGAAGAAGAGTCCAGCAGCCCGCCGCCGGCAGAGCCGTGGCCGAGGAGCGCGGGTGAGCTGGCCCGGGGGCCTCGCCCGTGGCCATTGAGCGCCTCCACCAGCTCGGCCCTGTAGACGGGTTCCCGCTCCCCAGCCCCCCGGGGGTCGGGCTTCAAGCGGATCTTGGGGGGCGGCAGGTCGGTGCCAGGGGGCCCGGGACGCGTCAGCTTCAGCCTGGGGATAGAGGCGGAGGGCCCACCGGGATCCTGGCTGCCCCCGTGCAGGGCCTGGGAGGGGCAGAAGGGCTCCAGGGACCCGTGCACGCGGGAGGGGATCTCCACCACCTCGCCTTTGCCCTGCGGCGTGCTGTAGGAGATCTTGATGGCCGGGCTCCGGGGGACCTGGGCCTTGTCCTCCTCCCGCCTTTCCCTCTTGCTTCTCCTCGTGCTGGTGGCCGTCGTGTCCCCTCCACCATCAGGGTCCTCGAGCTTGCGGGGCTCCCTGTTGGGGCCGGGGCCACCGCCCACCCTCCGGCGGGGCCGAGGGGCAGCTGGGGGGCCGGGGCTGGCCTCGGGGGGGCTCAGAGTGCTCTTGCACTTCTCACAGAGTACTTGGCGCGGCCGCAGGCGGATGGGGCTCAGGGCGAGCCGGCCTGGGTCGCGGTTACGGGACAGGCGTCGGCGGGTCCTCTTGATGGTCCGGGGTGGCGGCTGCGGTACCCACTGTCGGTAGGTGCTTCTCAGCCAGAGCGGGGGAGGGAAGGGAGCGCCTTCGAAATACGGCGGGAACGGTGGCACAAGGGGTGGGGGCGGCTTGGGGTCTGCGGTCTCGGGGGGCTGTTCCCCACAGGGAGGCGGCGGAGGGCCCGTCCCTAGCTGCATCGCCTCTCCGTCCTGCTCCTTGGGGGCCGGGCCGTGGCAGCCGTTGACAGGGGGGTCCTCGGGCTGGGGCAGCGGAGTCGACAGGGGCAGGCCGAAGAGGCCGGACCTGGCAGTGGGGAGACAGAAGGGGACAGTCAGGACCATGAGGACACCGCTGCACCCAGTCCCCACCCCCAGGGGCCCGGCGGGATCTGGGCACTGGCATGTGCCCCGAGCATCTTCAGGTGCCTCCAGGTTCTGAACAGGGGCAAACGCCCCTGCGTGTCCCCCATCTGGGGCATCCCAGGGGAAGGCATGTGCTCTATGAAGCCTGGGGACCAGCATGAAGGCCACCTCTCAGGTCTGTCAGGCACCGGTGTCCATATCTCCGTTCACGTGGGCTCGCAGCTGGAGACCTCCCAAGACCCAGTGTAGGCGTGGGGGCCCTGGAAGCCTGAGAACAGGGTCTGGGGAGTCTGGGGTGCTGTGACATGGCCTGACTGGGCCTGTGTGGGGGGCTGCTCTGTGGCCAGTGGCCCCTGGTCACCGGCCTTGTCCACCCACTTTCTTCCTCCCCGAGGGAAGACCCCAAGCATGCTACCCATGGGCCCAGGTGCCTGCCATGTGCGAGGGTGTCCGGGGGTGGGGGCTGCCATGGCGGCCATGGACAGAGGACAGGTGTCAGCCAGAGCCCACTCCCTCCTAAATGCTGAGTCGGTCCCAACAGTCTTCACTGCCTGCAGGTGAAGGTGACAGCCACACCAGCCCTGCCCACCGCAACCTCAAAGGACCACCCCTCCTGCCTGGCACTGCCAGGCCCTTCCCTCAGGACTCCAGCTCCAGGAGGGGAGTGAGCCAAGCGGCATCGACGAGGCCATGTGACCCACGGGAAGGGGACGAGAGAGGGCAGGAGACCCACCTCCCTCCCATGGAGACCCCCACAGCCAAGGCCAAGGGTAGGGTGGCTCCCATAGGGTTCCCCAGCCGGGACCTGCCCAGCTAGAGGCCTGCTCTCTCCCGGCGAAGTGCTGGGCCACGCAGCCTCCTCTGGGCACCTTGGGGGGCGGGGGTCTTGTGCACCTGCGGGGGGTTGTTGATGAACGTCAGCGGGCAGAGCGCCTTCCAGAGGGGAGGGCCATCCCCGAGGCCCCATGCTGTGGATGTCGCTGCATCTAATTGACCAGTGACCCACGGTGCAGCAGGAAAACATAGAAATAGTAAAAAACCAGCCCAATACTCCATACCTTTCTCCAGTGGCGAGCACCATGACTTTTCAACAAACGTGATGCAATCTCGCAAGACCGCTTCAGCTAAAAGCTGTTGTTTTTGTAAGCACAAAAGCAGACTTCCACCAAGTTGCGGGAAACAAGGCTTAGAACACGACACTTCTGTCCCCACTCCCCACTTCGAATCTGACCAGAGTAGAAATGACAGATGGACGCTTCCACTGTTTCAATTTTCAAATGGTTTCCCCATTTGCTGTTCTCCAGAAGCATCCAGGCAAGCTGAGAAGGGCCGACCGTCCATGACATCACCGCCCCCCGCACAGCCCCCAAGCGCCAGGGCCGGGAGCCGGGCACAGACGGGACGGAGGGCATCGCCTCCCCATGGTCTTCAGGGCCACGAGATTGACGAACTAATAAACATGGTGGCAGGTCTGCATGCAAACACTGCCCCATTTTTGTTTAATTCAAGTTCATGGGAAAAGCCTGGAAACTGTAGTTTTCCTCCTTCCCATCAGGTTCTCATCTACCTGTGGCCATGCCCTGAATCTAAAGTCCTCGTGGGTGGGGCGGGGGGGGTGGTGGCAAGGGGCTCACGTCTTCTCTTCATGACCAGAGAGTCCAGCAAACAAAGGTCCATGGCCACCTGGCCCGGGCAGCCTGCTCCTGCCCTTTGTGTGGCCAGAGGGCTGACCTGCCCGTAACCTGTGGCCAAGAGGAAGGGAAAAGGCGGTGGGGGGAGCAGTAGGGCCAGCTGGGGAGAGGGACCACCCAGCTCCCTCCCCGGTGGGATTGTGCTCTGGTGGCTGATGAGCCCCACCATCCCCTCCTCATCCTCCTCTGGGCATGTGGCTCTTCACCTGCCCTGTGGCCTGGGACGGCTTGTGCTGCGACCCCTGCAGCCCCAGGCCCTGCGTCCTGGCTGACCAAGCGGCAGCAGAGTCCTTTCCCTACGTAGGTGCTGACTGCGTGTGCACACGGCTTCCTGCATCTCAGCCATCGTGGGAATCCGGCACTGGTGGATTTCCACACTAGGATGGGCTCAGACTCTTGCGGACCAGCGGTGGGAAAGGGGGCCCCGGGTCATTCCCTCACCTGGCACTGGGTGCACAGACCCCACGGCCCCAGCAGCCAGCGCCGGTTTTCTAAGTCAGGATTTACCGGCACAGAGCCACGCTTGCTCGCTCGGGCTGCCCTGGCGGTCTTCCCGAGCTGCACGGAAGCCAGGCCCAAAACAGGTGCTGTGCGGCCCGCTATGGAAAGTCTGCCGGAGTCCAGGTGTGGGAGACAAGCCCCTGCCCAAAGCTGCCCACACCCCCAACCGCGGTCGTGACAGGCAGGTGTGTCAGCAAACGTCACCCTGAGTCCCCGGGCATCAGAGCCAGGACTGGACCCCACACAGAAGTCAGCCCCTGGTTCTTTTGCCGGGCATTCAAAAGCAGCTAAAAACTCTTGAGCGCTAAACTTGTGCTCATACGAAGGCACACGCATTCACTCACCCTGAGCTCCTGGGCCACATGCTCACTGCCCCTTGCTGTGAGGGGTGTCAGGGTCCCCTCCATGTAACCCACAGCACCCCACGAAGGGGCCTCCGATGCAGGGGGTGTTAGCAAGGAGAGAGGGGAGGCCAGGGGGTCCCCACCCCGGGCAGCAGTGGTGCCCTGCCAGAGGGTGACATCCAGAAGACCCGCAGTGCAAGAGGCCCCCAAGGAGCCCCTCAAGGGACAGCCTCGGCCCCGCGGGCAACACCTGGATGGCACACTGGCCCCTACACTGAGTGGGTACCCCAGCTAAGGCTGAGGCAGAGAGCACCCCAACTGCCACCCTGTGGGCGTAAGACAAGGGCCACAGGGAAGGCTGCAGGACCTCTAAGAGGACACCCTGTCGGCAGGTCTATAGACCACAGGGGTCCCACAGCAAGGAGGGGTCCACATGCCAGGCAGGATCCACATGCCTAGACCTGGAGGGCTGTTCCCAAGGCCCCCCAAAGCCTACTTCTGCCCACTTTTGCAGGCACTCAGACCATGAACGGGGGGGGGGGGGGCGCTCACTCATACCCTCCCCTTCATCTGCATCCCCACCCCCCCAGGCTTCTTTGCGGTCAGCCTGCTCGTGAGACTCCCCTGCCCCCTGCCCCCAAGTCTGTGCCAGTGCAGACCCCCTCCTGCCAGGCTGGGGCCCAGGGCACCCCAAAAGCAAAACCCCTGGACAGCCACTTTCCCATCACCCTCTACCCAAACTAACCCGTCGTCCCCCCAGAACCCTCCTCTGCAGGAGCCAGCCCACCCTGGGGGTTGTGCAGTCCTCTCCTGCTACAGGCAGGCTGGAGCGGGGGTGTTGGTGGGGGGTGGTGGAAAGTCCCCCTATTCCCGAAGGCCCCAAAGTTGGGTCCAGGGAGGTTTTTGTCCCCGGTTTATGGCGCACAACCCCCCTCAGGGAGTCCCTGCATGTTTGGGACAGAGATCCAGGCCCTGACCTGAGCCACAGCTCTAAGGCATGGCCCCTGGGCACAGGCCGGTCAGGCAGTGACCCCTCCCTGCCCTGGCAGGTCAAACTGGACACTGGCCTTGGCTTCACAGAGCACTGGGAGCCTGGAGAGCAGGCGCGTCCCTGCCCTTGTGTGCAGGCGCCCTCGGCCTATGGGGGGGCTCTTGCCTTGGGCGGGGTGCGGGGGGGCTTCCAGAGGTCAGCTGCAGCCCCCCCCCCCCCGGGGGTGGCACCCTGCTGAGGACCCGGTGGCAGCCCCGTGACTCTGGCACGGCATGCAGCCGCCACACTTCCTTCCCGGGGCGGGCCCTGCCCAGGCCACGCCCCGCCTAGGCCACGCCCACACCCCTGGTGGGTAAACAGCAGCTCGGGGATGGCTCCCTCCCCGGACTGCGGGCTTCAGCGCCCGAACCCTCCACACAGCCCCAGGACACACACAGCTCGGCCATCCCCTGCTTACGGATGGGGGGCGGAGGGAAGCCCGGGGCGGTCGGGGTCTGAACCCCTGTCCAGGCACGCACACAGCACCAGCCACTCCCCCTGGCAAGGATGGCAGCACCCTGCCCCAGTGGGGCGACCTCAGCTGGACTCCAGGGCACAAGGCGTGGCACCACTCTGCGTTTCGCCCACAGGGCCCAGCCCCGCAGTGAGGCCAGGCTGTGCTGACGTTGGCTCGTGCCCGGGGATGGAGGCCCCGGCCAGCCTGGCAGGTGATACCGCAGGGCCTTGGCAGGGAGAGACAGCCTGCCAGGCCCCGGGCCAGGAGCCCAGGCCCCCGCACCGTCCTGCCCTCCGTGCTGCTGAGGGTTCCTGCTGGTTCCCTCCCCAAGGACAGAGAGGTGTGTGGGGAGGGGCCCTGGGGACTGGGCTGCCAGGCCGGCCAAGGTCTCCGTGCAGGAAACTGGGGGACCCTGAAACAAAGCTCAGCACAGAGTCCTTGGGAGCTGGGGGAGGGTCAAATAGCCTCAGATCCGAGGAAAGGCTGGGGACACTGAGAGCCCAGGAGACTCCAATGGGGGTCAGACCCAAAAGCAGAGTAGTTCTTCCCCGGAAGGTCCCCACTCTACCGAGACGAACGCAGGGCCATTTGCACGGACACAGGAGAGAGAAGCAGCCTAGCCTGCAGTCCTTGGCAGGAGACCCGCGGCCGGCCTCAGCTCCCCCGCCCCCGTGAAGTCTCACCCATGCAAGCAGCTCAGCAAACCCCCAGAGCAGCCAGGCCTGAGCTGGCCCGCGGCCAGGAGGAGCTGGCCCCGCCGCCTGCCAGAGCTCCCGGCCGCCCCCGCGGCCTCCCCACTCTGCAGACTCGGGACCCAAGTGGCTATGGAACCCCACAGCAGCCTCTGACCCCAGCCGGGTCCACGTTTGCCCTGGACCTCCCTTCCTCATCCTCCCACGGGGAGAGGCAATCCTGGTGTCCAGTAAAGAGGTGAAGAAATGTGGCTTCTGGACCAGAAACACCCCAGGGTCCATCTCAGGCACCTGCAGGGAGCACCATGTAGCCAGGAGCCTGTGGCCCCAGGGCAGACCTGAGTCCAGACGGCAAGGCCCACTCTGTGGCCGGGCTCCCCGCGTCCCACATGTTAGTTTAGAAAATATACCGCAGTCCGCCCCCCCCCCCCCCCCACCAGGCCGGCAGCCCCGAGGGACGGACGGGAGCAGGTTCACGTGGGAAAGGGAGGCTGGAGAGGGCAGCCTCACCGGGCCTCCAGGCCCACCTCTGCTCAGGGAGTTGGGGAAAACAGGTTGGCCGGGGAAGTCACAGCCTGGATACCAGCGTGGTCCCTGGTCTAAGGCCACACATGGGAGGCTGCCCCTCCCCCATGGTAGACCCAGGCTCTCTGGGGCAAGCCACGGAGCCAGGCTAGCACATCTGGCCCCCCGAGTCCTGGACTCAAAGGTTTAACCACCACAGCAGCTGACTACATCCCTCTCTACGCCATCCGGTGGCTCCCCCATTCCACACCCCCCCCTCACCTCCCCACTGGCCAGGTCCCCTGTGAGGCAGCTGTCTGCCTGCTGGGGGTCACACTACACTATGCTACACTGGGCACCCTGCTCTCAGTCCCTCTGGCTCCCTGAGGATAGGGAGGACATGCCCAGTAGGACCTGGAACAGGTGTCTATCCTTATTTGTCCAGCGACCCATCCCGGCACCGGTCACCAGTGGGAGTGCGCCCCGGATGGAACAAGGGTGCTCTCCTGTCCAGGGACGGGCCTGCTGGGATTCCTGACTGGCTGGCTACAGAAGCTGGAGCCCCAACCTCCCAGGGTGGGGTGTGGGCCACAAAGGCCCAGAAGTCTTGTATGGTAATCGCACCCTGGATGACTCACAACTGGGGAAGTTTGAAAAACACCAGCTCAGAGATGAAGGCCGGGGGCCTCGGGGTTTGTCAGACCTGATGGGCAGCTGGTCGTCACTCCTACTGTCCATGAGACCTTCCTTCACCGGGCTTCTGCTGTCCTTGGGCCATGCCTCAGCCAGAGGTATACCCCCAAACCACCCACAAAACAATGCCCACACCCACCCTGAACCCCAGTCTGAGCCCGTGGGGTCAAGGCAGGCCTGGGACATTGGTATCCTTACTACACCAGAAGGAATCACGGCCTTGTAGGGAGACTAGAAGGATCGTGCGTGCAGAGCGGGGTGCCTGGCACTCAGCCCAGGTACACAGTGGGGAGTCGATGAATGCAGGGGGATGCATGAGGGTGGGCACCAAGCAGCTGAGTGTATTCCCTCAGATCACAAAGCAGCTTGGCAGCAGGTTCAAGACTCGCGGGGGGAGGAGGCAGCACCACACACTTGCTGAGACCTTGGAGGCCTCGGGGAGCTCTTTTCCTCTGCGAACATTTGGGGAAGAGAAGCCACCTCCCAGGGTGCCAAGGGAGGGGATACCGCCTCCCAAAGACCCAGTGAGTCACCCTGCTTGCTGGGCCCTGCTCCAGGACAGAGAACGGGACCTGCGCGAAGGGCCCCTCCCCTGGGACGGCTCCGACCTTGCAGGAGACATGGGAATGAATTTACCGCCACATGGGGCTTCCCGTCCTCCAGGTCTGCGCACCAGCTCTGGAAGCCACTGCTAAATGACAGTTCCTGGTGTGTGCCTGGCCACACACCAACAGCTGTGGCTGGGCTACCCCGAACACAGTCTGCCCAACTCCACTGCACTGGGACCCGGAAGTTCCCAATCGGAGCTCCCAGCTGCTGGGCTTGGCTGGGCAGGACCCACACCCAGGATGGGGCCCCCACCGAGGGAGCAGCCCCGCCACTGTCACAGATGAAGGGGGGCAGGCACGGAGGAGAAACTGGCCTCGGGAAGGCTATGGACCCTGCAGCTCAAGGCCAGACACCCACCGCCCAGAACACCCAGGCCAGGTTATAAGTTGCCAATGGACCCCACCTGATGAACGGGCTGTAACAGGAGCACTGAACTCTTAACACTGTGGGCCCAGAACAGAAGACAGGGTGAAGTCGGGGCGGTAAGCAAAGGGGGGATGAGGGCAGGCCGGGGCCGTTTCGGACGGAGCAGTGGTGGGTTGGAGGTGCTGGGGCTGCAGCAGGAGCCCGTGCGAAGCAGAGCTGCACCCACCGAGGCCCGGGTTCTGTGGGTGGCTCCGGTTACAGCTGAACGTGGCCCTGGCAGGGCTGACGCCCACGAGTCTACGGCTGCCAGTTCCCATGCTGGGGAGCCCAGCCCGGCCGGCTTCCTTCCACGAGGGGAGTGCTGATCTCCAAGCCAGGTTAGCCCCAGCCTGGGTGGGGGGCAGGGGGTGGAGGCAGACAGAAAGGGAGGCCAGGCTGCCTCCCCCACCGACATTCCCCCCCACAAGTCAGAGGGGCCCACAGCCTCCCCTGTCCTGAGTTGGGGAGCCCAGAAAACGGAGGAGGGATCCTCTGCGGCAATGCCCCTCACCAAGGAGGAAAGGCCCGGCCAGGCACAGCCCTGCGCAGACCCAGGAGCAGGAACAGGCCCCAGCGGGCCCTCCCGCCAGAGGGAGGAAGTGGTGGCCTTCACTGGCATGAGACCTTGACCCCGCAGGGCACAGGCTTGGCAGCTTCCAGGTGGCTTTGCTGCAGCCCCCCCCCCACCCCAGCCCCACCCCTTGGTCCCGCCAAGCACCCTCCGTGGTCTCCAGGGCAGAGTGGGGCGACAGTCACCCGGGAGGCCATATGTTAAATCACATGACTTGTGCATAAATGGTTTCTGGCCCATCTAATGGAGAGAGAATAGCAGCAGCTTAACTGTTGAAGAGTGATGGTCTTCCTGCCACGTCCAGGCGACTGCCACAAAATCTGGGCCCCTCGGAGGCAAAAAGTTGGGCCTCTGCAAGGGGAGGCATTTATTGCTTGCAGCCTCCAGATAAGGCCCAGCAGGAGCACTAAGACATTAGGGCCTGATTAATGCCTAATCATTTATCTGTGAGACAGCTCACTACCATGTGACACTGTAACCAGGAGACTCTTCCTGCTGCTGAGTCCCTGCAGTGGGCGCACAGGTGCGTCTCAGGATGATGTGCCCCCAGGCCTGCCCAGGGACCCCTTCCACCGGAGAAAGCAGGGCTCCCGCCACCAACCCCCTGC